TTACAGAAACAAGGATATAAATAGTTTATAAAAAGTAATATGCAAACACTACAACTCGGGACGCCCGCGTGCTTTAGTTATCCTTTTTAATTTACAGTCAAAAGGAATAAGTTCTTTGTTCATTATCTAACTTTAATTTTAAAAAATGACTAAAATTGAAACAAAAAATAGGTATAAATAGAAAAAAAGACACTGATTAATAATGTATAATGGAGACATAGCTAATTTCTTAACGAAGTAATGATTATCTAACTAACTTAAATATTTCAAATATTTTGTATTACATCTATCTATAGCGATTAAAGCCATCAACATTTTCAATTTTGCCCTGTAGGGCTTTCTTTTGGGATTCTGTTTCCCCTGTTTTCAAATAAAAACCCAAAATGAAAACGTTAAAGCTCGTCCATCAAGGCTAAAAATTGTTTCTGTATCGGTGTGGTTGAGCCTGTTCATGGATGGCAGTGATTTAAACAACATATAAAAAGCAAGCAAAATATGCTACGGTTAATTATACATTGACATGTAGGGATACAAACCGACCGAACTATTACTTATGTCACGTTATACATCATGCTAATGTTATATGAATAACCTATCTAACATTTGTAATGTGACTATCAGATGATACAAATCTATGATACATGATATCGTAATGATATATCTTATAACACGTTCATCCTGACCAGCTTAAATATCTAAGGTTTCTTTGGGATATCTATACAAGGTGATCTGATCTTGACATATAAACTCTTTTTATGAAAAATATTAGCAAATTCGAACAGGAATAGGGACAAATTGTACTTGTATCTTTTTTTCCTTCAACAAATATTTTATGCTTTACAATTGTGGTAACTATTTAATTCAATCTCATTTATTTCTACCTGTTAAACAAGTAAAATACACACAAAATTGATAATAATTATAGAAGTGTATTTTATCTACCTGTTTTTCTGAGCCGTCAGTTAATACGCACAAATTTTGCATGGAAGTGAATTTTTATTCAATCTAAAGGAAACTTGGAATTAATGCACATATATTTTGAAGTAACGGGTAAGATTTTATTAGATAACGATTGACGTTTGATGGCTACAATTTTACAAGCAAAACTAACTTGTTATCGTTTATTTATCTCGTCCCAAACTTGTATGGATTTTTTAGAATAATAAGATATCAAACTTGTTCTGCACATTTAAGTAGGTCTAAACGGGATAATTGCTGTATAATTGTAAGTATTTATTTTCCTTTTTAAGAATGAAGTTAAAATAAATATATTTCAGACATTTGAAAAATTGTTTTTGTAAATGCGCATATTCGTTTCCAATTTGATTTGCTTTGTCTGTATTAAGACAATAACTTAATTTATTTTTTGTTCGCACGAGATAAATCAACAATAAATTTATAGCAACTTAAAAGTACGTGATTAACTTTGAAGTTAATTTTTTTTCAGGCGTGATGAATAAAAGTAGTCACTAGCAATTGTCATACTTTCAATCTTTATTTTTTTTATCAATTGTTAACCTTTTCAATTCAATATAAGAAATAATCATATTTTGGTAAAACTCTTAAATTCAATGTTTCCAATACTTTTTTTGCAGTTGTCTGGCTGTCTATTTTAGTGCATGAAATATAACATTTTTAAACACTTAACATGCCCATTTCAGCGAGTGTAATATAAATAATAAATAAAACTAATAAATTTAATACATATGTACTTCCAACCATATGTTTGCTTGTTTGTGTAAATAGTTTGGAAATGCTTCAGACAAGTATTATTTAGAAAAGAAGATACCTTAAACAAAAGGTTATATGTGAGATAAGGTAATTTAAAAATGTTTATTTTATCGATATGCGTCTAATTTATATGATGAATAAACTTTCCTAAAAATATTTAGATAATTGTATACAAGCAACATTTTGATACACCGTTGAATAAAACAAGACATTGTTTTCGAAGATTGCTTTTTAATTTCTCGATTTGTATATTTTGTATGCAGTTTCATTTTACAAATTTACACGTTTTTTTATTTCTGAAAAGAAAATTTAACTTACTATTAAATGTATGGGTAGGAAGTGAGTAATTTGTAATCTTTGTGACTGATGATTGGATAAAAATAAAATTGATAAAAAGTTATATTACCCGATAAATTCTGACAATTTTTTAATATATATGAGAAATTGTCTTCTGGAAGAAATATTCGTTTCCTCTTCATGGTAGAATGCAATAAATATTCTGCTATATTTTAACTTTATACAACATATTTTGTTCTTACACCTTAAAAGTCTTCAGATTGCATTATCAAAGAAAAGCAAATAAGTGTTTTCTTTTCCGCATCTAACAACCTCTCCAAGCTTAAAAATAAGTCTGCATCAAATGAAATTTCGTCACATTGATATCAGATATGGCACCCGAAACAATAAAAGGTTCGGTTCAATCGTAAAAGAATATATATCCAGCTGTTATGTTGATTTCCATTTGTGCAATTGTTTTGAACAGAAACGGTAATTTATCAGGATGTATAACCTAAAATACGAACATAGTGTGTTTTAGACTGGTCGAGGGGTTAGAGTCGATGACTTCTAATCCAGTTACCTCTCTGGCGTGGGTTCGATCCCCGGGAGATGCTTTGGTAGTTAAGCGCGGAGGAAGGTAGTCTAGTACTGGTGTAACTCTCCAGGAACGATGGTTAGGAAACTACCCGCCTATATGACTGAAATACTGTTGAAAAAGGCGTAAAATGAAACAAACAAACAAACAAGACTGATCATGTATTATTTTTTGTGCATAGGAATGTGAACTAGACAAAAGATATATTCGTCTCTTCCTCATGCTCAAAAATTACTCGCAACAAAATCCCGTATTGGATATCTTCCAAAATAAATTATATTGGCCCAGCACCTGATATTGTCTGCTATTAATTTCATGATAATTTAGATTTGAATTAAACAGCTTTTGAAATTCCTTTATAATGAATGAACCGCCTCTTAATATTTTGGTGCATTTGAAGTAACTAAATTTCATGTAAACAATTAAGCTAGGCCATACGAAATAACGCATAAATTTTAAACCATATTCAGTCGCTTTACGAAGAGAATTTGGCGAAAGAATTAGAAATAGAGCTACTGTAACTTCACTTTGCAGATGACACATGTACATAATTTAAATTTGATAACGTTTGTGTAAGTCATAAGGAACAGATTGTGTTGCTTTGTACGCGATTCTGATCTCATTGCATTGTTTTTATCTGTTTCTGTCGTTTTCAATACTGTTGTTGCTCTGTGTCATTGGCTTTTATAAACAGAAGAGGTCATCGTTAAAAGAGCGTTCGAGGCCAAGTGGGTAAGATGATCGTTTACATCAAATACTTGCCTCAACCGCTGTGGGTTCGGACCGTCGGTGTTTCTACTCAAGATGGGTACCCGATGTGCCATATCACATTTTCAGTGTTTTTGTGCGGACATACCACCCTTACCGGACACCCCGGGACCCCCACCTGCCCCCCCCATAAAAGTTTATATTAATTAAAGTAAATAAATAAAATAAAACGCAATTTACATTAAAAGGTCAGATTCATTTACGCATATAAATCGCGATCAGGAAACAATGCTGACAGTCAATCTCTTTCACAGCGCTTAGGACAAACCTGCACAGTAGTTCTTCAAAGCAGCTTAAAACTAGCGATGCAAAAGATAGAAATATTTTTATATTGTTGAAAGTATCCATCAAATTACAACGCATTTAAAGTTTTAAAATAGCGTTGGCTTAGAGACTTGTCAATAAATGCACAATCACAAATTACGCGGATGAATATCATTTTAATCAATGAAAATGCTATTTTTTAGTGATGACGATTACCGAATTTTTTTTGTTGTTGTTTGTTTTTGGGTTTTACGTCACATCGACACAGTATAGGTCATATCAAGTTGCTGCATCTTGGTACCCTGTAAGATGATTTATAGTATATACAATTAACTTATACAGGAAAATACATTCTTGAATAGCAGACTGGCGTTTCCGTGAGTTTTACCCATGCCGGAAATTTCATCTGGCATGGGGGTGCCAGATGAGTCGCGTGCCAAACAACAACGTCATTTTAGCGCCATTTATGAATGAACCGCGTTAAAATGACGTCGTTTTAGAAGGGAAATATGTGCTTAGGCTGACGTCATTTCGCCGTTGTTATTTAAGTTGTAAGTTCATACGCTATTGTAAGAATATAGTTATGGATGAAATGACTTTAATTTCCGTAAACATATATCATATTGAGGTAAACCATTTTAAATATGAAATAATATGGCAGAATATGCAAGAAAAAATCTTTCATATGTTTGCGGTTCGGATCGGAATATCCGTCCCTCGGGAACCCGCCCTGGGGCGGTAACTCGGCAAGCCTCGTTACCGCCCAATGTGCGGGTCCCCTCGGGACGGATATTCCGGTCCGAATCGCAACATATGACAGATATTATTATACAAACATACAGTACGATTTAAATTGCAAAGATCAGAAATACCACAGAGCTTGCAGTCCTTTGATTTTTTTAATGTGTAAAGCTACTGTAACAGCAACTGAATCAATATTAATGTTATATGATTTTTAATCTGATTTTATCAATAAAACTAGACTTAACATAGGTAAATAATGCATGCAAATTATCATTTTCATATAAAGTTACATTTGATATTTCACTCATTAGTTATGTAATAAGTATCCCAAGGTCGAGAAACGGCGCTAGCGCACATTTCACAGGTTTTATTAGATGTTTTGATTGTGTAACCAATTACGAAAGCGTCTAAATTAACGTAGATCTAATAAGTGAATGCCGACTTTTTACAAGGGAAAAAGGAACATTGGACGAAAATATCAATTTAAAAGTTACTTGAGTTTTAAAAAAAAGCAATCTTTCGGAAAACAGATGCTGATGGAGGTATATGAAGTTACTGATCATCTGATATGACGTAAGGAAATTTGTTATATTTGTATATAATTTGTATATAATTTCAGGAAAAACAACAATGACGAATTCTAAATATTTGGATATATTCTATGTGATTTTGTTGGCACTTTTAGTAAGGGTAGAGGCAGTACATACGGTACAAGACATCAACAAATTGTCTGCTGAACTTTTGTCCGGATACAACAAGAATACTCTACCATCCGCAAACTTTGACCAACAGTTCCAATTAGGTATAAGCGTTGGTCTTGTTGCCCTTGGTGACATTGATGAGGTTGAAGAGAGACTTTCCACAGTGATGATGTTCATTTTCACAGTATGTCTATTTATATACATAATCATACTTGTTTTAGTTCTTGTGAACTACGAGCAAAAATTTTGAAGTTTATTTACAATGTAATGCCTATGATGACTTAGAAAACATTACATATATACATATAAAAACATATGAAACCAGCTTTTGAGGACTGTTAGTCTTCAAATATATGGTGGTCAAATGACCCTTACTGTATGAGCACTTCTTCACATGTAAATAAATACTGGTTGGTCAAGTGATTAAGATCGTTGAATTGCCATTTATCGTAGATGATTTGAATTACGTCGGTGACTTAGATTCTTTTCATGTGAGGAAACTATCAAGCTAGCTTTATGTAGGTTGGAGAATGTATTAGGATGACTGTTCGTGTCTGAAATAATGCTCTGATGTCATCCTTCACCACTTATGCCGGAAAGTCGCCGAATGAATATAATTGTAGGTAGACCTAAACACCAAACAAACACTATTCCGATTTAGAATAATGATTAAACCGGCGTAGAAGCATGGACTTTTACTTGCATTTTGGCACTGCAATAATTGCATGGGCTCAAACAAGTTGCATTTCAAACTTCCATCTTTTACTTTTAAAATGTTCTCTTTACCAACTTGTTTAATCTTTTGTTTGTAGTGGAATGACACAAGCTTACGATGGAACGCCAGCGATCATAACAATATAACGAACATAACAGTAAGCTGGACAGACGTGTGGAAACCTGTTGTAATGGTTGTTAATCCACATCAAGACGCATCAAAACAACATTCAGAGATAAATTCTGTAAGTCACCCTTTTATATAAAGAAGCACCAATAAGGCACGATTTTGACTCAAAGTATTTGCATTTGTTTCAATTTCAAAGCGTGTTAATTATACGCAAAGTTAGCCTGATGAATGTTGTTATACAACTTGAATAATGTGATATTTCATATGTTATATTTAGGACATTTGTCTTGTATTCGAGTGCTCTTTTGTATAATACTAGTATATGATGGTATGGAGTTAAGATGCACTGTAATATCACAAAGAAAGTCGTAGTCCTGAGTAAATAATTACAAATGTCCGACCGACATTCAATGCAAAATTATATATATAAAGTATTCAATAGTTTTTTTTAAAATTGTAACACGTAAGTCAAATGAATTGTAGGAAAACAGTATTGGACTAAATGCCCTTCAAAAAACTTCTGTAAAAACCTATCGATAACTTTACCATTTGTGCAAAGGCTTTTTGAATAATACATTTTAAACATGTTAATTTATGGTCTGTTTACTAGTTAGGTGTAGTAAAATGGCATATTGGAAATCCCCTTCCCGATATCTGGGATCCTAGGACGAACCGAAAACATTCGTAAATAGATATTATAAGGAGTGTGGTGTGCATTATTGTGTGAAATCATGAACGATTCCGCACTTCCTTGATTACATGGAAAATCTCCGATTGTGTTAGAAAAATAATATATTAATACAATTGTAACTAACATTTTTTTGCCTGTGTTAACTTACAGAATTAAAATTTGATATCGCTTACAAAATGATATTCAATGGTCCATTATTTTTGGACACGGCTACAAGTATTTTATCAAAATTGTATAACACGGAAGTTTTAAAATATGTATATTATTTTTAATTTGACAGGATACTATTGGTTTCTCTCATACGGGTGGAGCATATCTTCTAGAGCTGGTTACCTTTCAAACAACATGTGACCTTGACACAACATATTTTCCGTTTGACATACAAACATGTTCTATGAGTTTTTATATTTCTGAAAACGATGCGTACTTTATAAAGATACACGCTTCATGGAATAATTATGGAAAATCTTTCACGAAGGAAAATGGAGCATGGAAACTTATTAGTAAGGAAATCAAAGGAGATGATTTCTCGAGATTTAAGATATCCCTGAAAATGAAGCGAAAACCATTGTTTATGTTGGTGAATATTTTGCTGCCAATCATTGTATTAGCTTTACTTGCACCTTTAGTTTTCCTGATGCCTAAAAACTCTGGTGAAAGAGTTGGTTACTCTATCACAATGTTGTTGGCGCTCTCTGTGTATATGACTATAATTAGCGATAACCTTCCGAAAAACTCTGACCCAATGCCGCTCGTGTCAATTATGATTTTTATCTGGTATATCATGAACTCTAGCATTGTTTTTGTAGTTATTACAAACACAAAAATAAACCATATTAAGGACGGGAGAGAGGTTCCGAGGCTTGCACGTACTTTTGTCATACTTACACGTAAGATCAAGGGCGTTAAACGGTTACACGTAGGTGATACTCCTGAAGAGGAAATACTTAACAGTTTGAGCAATGGGTCATCGCAAGACGAGGACGATGAAGAAAACAGCGCTAAGCCAATGAAAAGGAAGAGTCAGCCACATTTGGAAAAATCGGATAACTACTACCGTGCACGGTATCCTGATGGTGTCACGTGGCAGGAACTAAGCGTGGCAATAGACAAATGGGGTGTTGTTCTGAGCTACGTCATAAAGATTTCGATCCCAGTCGTGTTCTTTACCATAATGAAAACACAAAGTAACTGATTGACTAATGTAGTTTTTTCACCTTGTCAAGAGAACAAATGTGAAGTGTCAGTGTATAGATATTTTTAGATTTTATTATAAACCATAAAATATAATAACCTTTATAAAACATGTAATACAAGTTTCAGAATAAACCACATAAATATATTAGCTCTATTTCTGTTTTCAAGTACATGCTGGGAAAGAGTCAGGTGTATGGTTATTTAAATGTATTTGTTCGCTGTTTTAAAATGTGTATATAATCAGAACCTAGAGAGTTAAACATCAACGATACGGCGTTATCTTATTGGTTATCTTTTTGAGAACTATTGGTTTATATTTGTTCTTTATTATCAATAAATTGCTCGAAAAATATTTGAAGAACCGAAACTATTTGATATAACATTCCCTTCCATGACTTTAGTCGTATTTTATTTTTTTTCCCATTATCATCAATAAATTGCTCGAAAAATATTTGAAGAATCGAAAATATTTGATATAACCTTTCTTTCCATCACTTCAGTCGTAAATTTTGGTATAATTAAAAATGGACGATCATTTTATCAGAAACAGCACGAAGTAGTTCGGGCACGTTGTTAAATTCTCAATGCTTTGGAATTTACAAATATAATGCAGCTCAAAAATATACAAGTACAAATGTTGCTGCAATGCAGCAATTGAAAAGCTTCGCGCAAAAAATGCGCTCATTACAGATACCTTAGCAAATCATTCCTGCGCACATGTCATTTTCTTTTTAGATTAAGTGCTACTGTACATTATTCCGGATGTTTTGTAAATCATTTAAATTTGCATAATTATACTTATAGAGTACTAGCCTGTGGGCGCGGAGCAATTAGCATATATTTAAACTTAAGGTAATTTTAGAGAACCACTTAGATGTATTCTTACAAAAAATGAACACTCAGGTGTACAAAAGGAGAAAAAATACGATCTCAGGTGTACCTGAAAAGAGAATTGATAAAATCACGCGAGCATCGACGTTGTTACACTTTTTTAACATGCGTGAATCAGGAAAAAAACTGACTGCGATGAAAGCCCCGGTAAATTAACAGTCCAATTTCAGCACGCCCGCACGTTTATTAAACACATTTATAGGATACTGGTTTATTTACTACAAGTAAGGAGACGTGTAGTAGAGTGTTAACGTGCCTTTACATCTGTAGAAGCACGAGAACGCTTTGTTAACAAACACGAGGTGTTTATTAGTCCATGGGCTTCTGCAAATATAAGAGAACGCAAAAAAATGCATTAACCCGCTATTCGTATATATATTTTTTAAACAAATACCATAATATGCATGTACTTAATACATTGTATATAAGGGCATACTCGTCAAATAGCCTAGATGGACAGAAGGTAATGCATGGATGTTCTCGGGAGTTCATACTTTCGGCATGATTCCAACTAATCCGTGTTTATAGTATTAGATGTACCCAAATTAAGTAAGAATAAATATAATTTATCTATTTCGCTAAAATTCCCATTTTTACTTTGTCTGTTTTACGAAACGTTCAAAAATGACTTACACTTGTGAATTGCAATAAGGATTACTATTGCAAAATATTAGACATTTTCATTATGTTACAAACTTATAGGTTATTTTCGTCTATTTGACGAAGGTATATTAATGTGGGAAAGAAGTTTCCTCAGGTCAAATTACTTTTACTTTTGACCTTTCTTAACATTTTAGTTACAATGGAAGAAGGCTTGTATAACATGTAATACTGAGTTACGAAAACGAACTTTATTCATTGTGTTCATAACATTATATGAGTAACTATATATTATATATCAGGTATCAACATCTGAATGTTACCAGCGTTAAAATGTGTCAGATATAAACACCCATTAAAATGTTTTATTCATAAAAAGATGATACTTTCCCACAACGTCTTTATAAATGATTAATTTTAGATAGTAAAAATAAATTTGATGACAGATCTCTCACGTACGTGTACTTATATGTTTCAATAAAAATTCAAAATCTTGTGCAAAAAGATACTTACGCATGAAATGCCGTAGTTTGACTGTTCTTTGTAGATGTCAGATAGTTACGCTGGCAATTGGTAATATTATTTCGATCAAAAGGTCAACTGTTGCTTTTAAATATAAGTTGTGTACATATATAAATATTCACATGAGTCATTGAATAATGGTTACACCGACACTTTCATGTTGGTTATCAACTACTAGAAGCTATTAAAGTGTCCACTTAATTTAAAAACTTTATTACATTTAATGATTCATATACTATCCTAACATAAAATAGACACATTCATCGAATTATTAAACACACGTTCTTAAATTGCCAAGTTTGTTTCGCTTTGTGTTAGCTGGTAAATGATTTCGTGACCGAGCCGTTAAAGTCACTGACTCTGACTTAATTGATTACCATCAAGTCATCTTAATTCGTGTATTTGACAAGACTATCCAGCTAGTTCACGGATACACTGAATTAATTCCTTTAGTACTCTGACAAGTAGTAAAATCTGTATCCTAGGTAACCTAGACTATCTAGGAGTGACACATGAAGCATATACGGTATGTCTGGGTTCCGACGATGGGTCGACAAGATCGTGATAGATCTTTGAAGGTGACATTAAACAAGGCCATGTTTTCTCATATGATTGCATATATAGAGTGAATAATGAATGATTGTAAGTTCAATACTGAAATTATTGAACGAGTTGAATAAAATCATATTATGCGAGCCTCTGGCAAGCATATCATTTTATTCAACGAGTTTAATAAATTCAGTAATGAACTTACACGAATTTAATATAACATTCTATTTATTACATACCAAAATTAAAGACCATTTAAAGTGAAAAAAGAGTCTTTTTTCCATTGACATGTCTACAACATAATGCTTACATATAGCGCGTCTTTACACTATGTTTGTATAACGCAAATGACATAACGTCAAAATATATGCACGGCCGTGCAAGGCCATTTTTACGGAGTCGCAAAAACGGCACGGGTATGTGATAAAGCAAATAATAACACAAAGCCTTATCAATTGTACGAAGACTTTTCAATTTCTCAAAGAACTAATTGGAGAAATCGTGACACCGAGTTGAAGTACGGGCGACGACGCACAGCCGCCACACGTCATACGAAATTTCGTATATACAAAATATGATAAGGGAAGATGACTTAATTATCTTCTCACTATTCGTTGTATAACATTTCAATAAATCACTAACAGTTCAATGTTACAAAATTTACGTTCATGTTCTGATTTCAAAACACGCTATATACACCTGAACAGACAGATACTTTTCAATATTACAAATATGCGTTTATGTTCTGATTTCACAAAACTATATATATACTAACCTACTTGTTTTTTTCATTTTTCTACATTTATCTTTAGATATTCTGGTGGATTTTACAAAATAAAATTGGCTGATGTATGATAAAATCTTGTATACTATCTTTAAACGCGGGGTGACAACCCATTAATGCACACACCCCGATATTTAATTTAAAAATGATCATATCACTCAAAAGTGAATTAAAAGCCCAATTTTTGTTTAATGCGTATATAAATTCATTTTAAGATAAACCTGGTGTATCTGATTTATATAACATATTTAATTTACATAAGTTACATACAAAATCGTCTTACTTTCGGAGAATTCACACCTTAACTTTCTTTATTGGTCAACGTCAACTTAAGAAGAATAAAATTAATAAAGCATTTTCTTCATCTAGAGCTTGAAAAATCACACTGAATTGATTATATATACAATGTAGTATCTTCTCTTCATTCACTTACAAAACTTTTCATGTTCCATTACTATTCTATTATGAGTAATTATGTTTCAGTGCGTTTTAGCCCATTTCGCGCAATCATGAGGTGTAAGACAACTGATTTTTGTTCGAGTTGATCAGATGTTTTAACACAAATCAACTCATTTGATTAAAAACGACTATACCATTTTTGTCATTCTAAGTGACTTTTATCAAAATGCTTGAAGTTTCTGATGTCTAGGCGAATTTTTGTCAGAAAGACAAATGTTTTACCAAAGACGATAATATACCTTTTCACCTAGATCAAATCTTAAAGCATACCAGCAATGTTCGTGAAATAAACGTTTTCTTGATCTTGTGATCAGAATAAAATAAATTGATTTGTGTTTAAACGTCTAATTAAATCAAATTAAAATCAGTTGACTTACACATCATGATCTTACTTATTGGAGGCCTTTTGACGTTTCCGTAAGATTTCAAACAATTGTAACTGTTCGCTGATTATATGATGGATGAAGGATATGATTTTAACACGGATATTGTCTAGATTCGTCTTCACATACTGCTATACTAACAGGAAACATACACGACTTTATCTCTATCAAAGTAAAGTGATTATGTTGAAGAAACTCTGTTACGTTCTAAAGTTATCATATTGAAACAGAGACTTCATAGCATGCAATCAGATATTGCGAGATGATGTAGATTCTGTCAGGTAAATCGTTTCTCTAAACATTGTGCGCGTGTGTTTAATTTCATTTTATGAATAAGTTCAACATTTACTTACAGTGATCATTTAATACTTGTCTCGTCTGCAGAGATTTTTCAAAGTGATACGACGTTTTTACTTAAACATATGAGCCGCGTCTCGACACAACCACTATAATGGGTTTGCGACCAGCATGGATCCAGACCAGCCTGCGCACCCGTGCAGTCTGATCAGGATCCATGCTGTTCGCTTACCAACCCTTTGACAAGTTAAGAAACTGATAGCGAACAGCATGGATCCTGATCAGACTGCGCGGATGCGCAGGCTGGTCTGGATCCATGCTGGTCGCAAACCCATTATGTTGGTTTTGTCATGACACGGCTCAAATCTATTCCAATATTGACTTCTGTAGAGAATTTAACAAAAACGATATATGTAAGGTTATCAATAAAAGCAAGGTGAATTATTTATCAGTGATATATCGTCTATATCACTCATCGATTATTTAGAAAATTGACTTATTAAATAAAACAGAGGAAAATCAAATAAACATGATTTTGAGCGACCCTTCGTATTTTCCGCTCTTTTTTGTAAAATAATAATAATTAAAACGCGCTGTAAGAAAACACATGTGCCCAACATAATGCTCTAAAAAGTTCAATATAACAATGTACAAAGAGAACAATAACTGTACTCGTTTTAGTTAATATTACTGATGTAACCATATAGCAAATCATTAATAGTGAAATCACTGATGCATATAGCAAATCATTAATAGTGAAATTACTGATGCATATAGCAAATCATTAATAGTAAAATTACTGATGCATATAGCAAATCATTAATAGTGAAATTACTGATGCATATAGCAAATCATTAATAGTAAAATTACTGATGCATATAGCAAATCATTAATAGTAAAATTACTGATGCATATAGCAAATCATTAATTATAGTGAAATTAATGATGCTTATAGAAAATCATTAATGGTAAAATTAATGATGTAACCATGTAACAAATCATTGCATTATAGTATGGGGACCTTTCTGTTGTAAATATATTAGAGATAGATCGTATACATATACATGCACAGTGCGTTAACTGGAGTGCAGGTATTAGATACCCGCACTCCAGAGCATGCCCATTGATTGGCTCCTTTTTGCTGGGGTTTACTTATTGTGACGGCAGAGAAAGGGTAAGGGACAGAAATATCATATTCAGATGCTAGTTCATTGGTTCCTTCTTTCTGGGGTTTCATATTGTGACAACAGGGAACGTGTTTTTATGTTTGACGATGATACAAAAGAGAAAGAACATCAAAACACTCGGCAATCTGATTAATACTCGGGGGCTACGCCCCTCGTACAAATCAGATAGCCTCGTGTTTCGATGCTCTTTCTATTACTTAACAGGAAAATTACTGATGCATATAACAAGTCATGAATACACACGGTGTTTCTTTATTAAGTGATGGCATTTTCAAACATATAATACAATGTTAAGTACAATATAGTCAAGTTAATAAACAGACGATAGTAAATTGGTCATATTGATAAAGGTGAAAATGTTCCTATCTAGTTGAACTGTTAGCTTCTTTTTATTCCATTCTGTTCTATTTTCATTTAATTACATTCCATGTTTTGGTCAATCTCATTCCATTTATTATACTATTTCATTTAATAATATTCTGTCTCGTTCCATTCCATCCTATTCTGTTCTGTTCCATTCTATTCTACTCTATCTGTTCTAATTTGATAGTAGTCGTGTAGTTGAGCAACACCATCACTACACATAAATATCCGAAGTCTTATAGTAGTAATTAACCATTTACGTAATACAGATTTATTAAATTAGGTATAAATAGAAATCCTTGCAGGCTTTGTAATTTCATAATATCTTGTTGAATATACGTGTCTCGAAATATAACACTATTATTCTCAAATAATACAGAGGCGTTAAAGCTTTTCACATACATTTTCCTATTTCTAAGGTAGCATTACCTTTCTGACACACAAAATTTCTTATTATATCATTAGCTTCACAGTATAAGTGACGGGTGAAAACATATAAGCAAATACATGTGATTCTGATATGTATTCTAAAAAAGATAACATAGGTTTTATAGTTGAATTCACATGTTTATCATGAAAACTATTCAAAATTCTCTATTCTTTATACGTTATTCAACAATTTTTAGACCATTAATAAATTTGAAAACATATTATTGTTAGTAAATCTGCAAAGAGCGTGGAAGTTTCTTTTTAGGGATAATTGAAATGCAGAATTTGTCATGTTGAAATTTATATCTGTAAATATTAATTAAAAGTTAATGAAATATGTAAACGTATTTTCTGTTTCAAAGTCGGACAACATAACATAGACAAATGATATTGTGTAGAGTTATTCTGACATTATAGGCGCAGGCTACTGTAAAAACAATATTTCATTCACAAAAATAAATTGATAGATAAAGTACAAAACATGCATGAAAACATGACAAAAGGTGAATTTTGGTCTTGTTGAATATAAGGTGACGTCGCATAGACTACACGATTTTATATTCTTTTAGTTTTCACAGACGATTGTTCATTCAATGTGAATTATGACCACTTATCAGGCGATGGTCTCTTTGATTTCATGAGGGAAAAGAATATAACAGGAATTAATATCTTAACAAGATAGCTAAGAACAAAACACCATTTGTCAATGGCAACGCTCAGCTCCTGCCACGTCACAACAGCGTGATGATGTTCTTCCGCTTTTTCTGCAGGAAGTTCGTCATTTCCATTTACCTTCACCTTTTCGACATCGTCATCGTTATTGTCAGCAAGACATCTGGCCCCCTCTGCTGTGACTGATACATGTAACCGCTTCACACGCCGAATTCTGCGGGTTAAGTACACAAACTTCCTTAACAGAAATGGAAGTGGTCGTTTGTCTTTAATATGGTTAATCTTCGTGTTCAAAATCACTATAAATACACTACTAGAGTTCATGATATACCATACAAAGATCATGATAGAAACAAGAGGCATTGGATCAGAGTTCTGGGGCAGATGGTCACTTATAATTGTCATATACACTGATATAGCAAGTAAAGTGGTGATAGCATATCCAACACGCTCTCCAGAACTTTTAGGCATCAGGAATACGAGTGGAGTCAGCAATGCAAGAACGATAATCGGTAACAGAATGTTTACCAACATGAATAAAGGTTTCCGCTCCAGCTGAAAAGATATGACAAAACCAGACTTGTCACCTCCAACAATGTTTCTCCCAATTAGTTTCCAGGCACCATTTTCTTTCTCAAAATTTCCAGACTTTGACCAGGACGGGTTTACGCGCATTTCATATGCATCGTTTTCAGAAATGTATAATTGAATACTGCAAATTTGAATATCAAAAGGAAAGGCGGTTGTGTCCAGATCGCATGTGGTATGAAAGGTTACCAGTTCAAGAAGTCTCGCTTGCCCGTCTGACGTATATCCGACAGTCATCTGTAATAAAATCATGTTTATTGTTACTCTGTCATTAGTTTGGAAGATATAGGTATATATTCCGAATAAATAAATAAATAAATAAATAAATAAGGTAATTAATTAATAAAACATTAATTAATCAATCAATTCATTGATTAATTAATTGATTAAAACGAATATTTCGTTATTTGATTTGAAACATGTTTACAATGTACCAAGTACCTCAAAAACTACAAACCGGTTTACTAGGTACCAGCATAAATATACACAAGGATGAAAAGTAACATAATTAATATATACAAGTATACCAAGTACCGGCCAAAATATATACAAGTATACAATGTGCTGGCATAAATATATTGACAACTATACAAAGAACCGGTGTAAATATATACAAGAATACCAACTACCGGCATAATTATATGCAAGTATACCAAATACCGACATAAATATATGCAAATATACCAACTACCGGCATTATTTTAGGTAAGTATACCAAGTACCGGCATAAATATAAACAAGTATACCAAGTACCGGTGTAAATATATATGCAAGTATACCAAAATACCGGCATAAATATATACAACTATACCAAGTACCGGCATCAATATATACAAGTATACCAAGTACTGGCATACATATATACGAGAATAACATGTACAGGCATAAATTTATACAAGTAAACCAAGTTCAGGCTAAAATTTATACTAGTTTACCAAGTACCGGCATGAATGTATAACACGTATAATTATCAGTATACTAAGAAACTATATAAATATAAAGAATACCAAGTACAGCATAAATAGATAGAAATAAGCATAGATCCAGTATAAATAGGTACAAGTACCAGCATAAGAAATACATGTTTCTTGCATGCTTCATATGAATTTTTTGCCACTTTAAAATCACGTTTTTGGGTTTTTTATTTCTCTGTTCAGCAAATGCAAAATTACTGCTGCATTAAACGAATTAATAATAAACCATATTCAAATCACAAGGTTGCTATTAATTACCCCCAAAATAAAAAAAATATGAACACTGAAAGCACTTAATGCGTTTACTTTGCATGTGGTTCTCCACTTTCAAATTAATAGATTCTTTCATTTCCCCCAATGATGAAGTAACATACACGATTTTAATGAAAGACAAACGCGATAACATACATTTAAGAAGATAGAAAAAAAAGATATTTTCATATCACACGTTACGCTATAAATGTAAATTTATTGAAACCAAAGAAGGAATTTTATTATAAAAACTTACATCGTGCTTAGTATTGTTTTTTATATAAATGTTTCCCGTAACCTCATATACTCGAATGCTTAAAACATTCTCTTTTAAAGGCACATTATGCCTAAAAAAAATTTTTTTAATCCTTAGAAATGTCAACGTTTGTTTAGTAATGATTTAGTAATGGATCTAGAGCATATTAGATGTTTAACAATTTAAGAAAGTTGATAAATAATGTGTCATAAAGACGGCAAAGTGTGAACAAAGTAGTATATTGACTTCCATACAAAATACTCGTTCACTTTGTTTATACCAACTGGGCAAAGATGTAAAAAAGACTTCATCTATGTGGCAAATAAGTTTTTTTAAATAAAATATGTTTTTTTTTAAACTGCAACAATAAATTAAAAATGAAAGAAAACTATGCTGTGGCATAATGGGCCTTTAATGAAAATGCTTGTTATATTATAATAAAACTTCTGCCTTTTGTTCTGCTTTGAAATGTATTATCAGAGAATCTTGATGATACAATAGATAATGCATTATTATTTTTCATTTATTAAAGCAAGCTTGAATAGATGTATGTTTTTTTGTGTTATTTTTCAGTACTGGTACGATCATAAAATCCAAAATAAAATAAGTGATCAATATTCAAGCTTTTTTCTATAAATACGGGAATAATTTTCAGCGAGTGGTATGAAATCAAATATCACAAGATGAAAATAAATCCTGTTTTAATAGAGAAATCTTGAATTTTCTATTAATTATATGAACTGTTCTTTTTCCTTTTTGACATTTCAAATTCAAAGATTCCCCCAAAAATTCTGTGTATTGGCTGAATGTACGAGCGTAGGCAAGACACTAGTGAAAATCCCGAAAATATGTTTGACTGCAGTGCAAAATAATTTTCTTTACAACAAAAATACGGAAAATGAAAATAAGCATTTTAGTTCATCAATAAATTTCATTTATAAGTATATAATAAATACATTGTATTACCGAGGTTCTTTCGGAATGACTCTGTGTAGCCTCCTGATGCGGATTAATCACGAGTAAGATAGGTTTCCAGACTTTAGACCAGGTCATTGTTAAGTTCTGTATGTCACTATGATCACTTGAGTTCCACCTCATACTTACGTCATTCCACTGTAAATACATGTATAATAATGTTATACTTTTAAAATGTTTTTCATAGTTAACATTTTTACCAACTATAACAGTGTTTATCTCTAGATATGAGACTAAAGATAAACGCTCCAACACTTATATGCAGCAATTACAAACAAAGAGGCACCGGACGGTATCACATATATCAAAGACAGCGGATAATATTTTGTTTTCATTTAAGTAAAACAGTTACTGTAGATATATAGTAATATCTAAACTTGCAGCTTGTCACTATTTAGATAGACATTTTTATGTGTGTTTGTTGTTGTTTACTGTAGTTGTTTTTGAAAACAAAATGTGTTTGTGCATTAATACTCTCGTAATCTAACAAATATTGCTTAATTATGAGTCAAATAACGTTAAAACAACATTGATTTACTTAACATTTATCCATTAGTATTTCTAATACAACACAGTTTGTTTAATTCACCTTGATGCCTCTTTGTTCTCTTCTTAATATAATGTGTTTACATAATTGATCACTTTATTCACCTGTGCGTACTTCCTTTTTATAGGTTATATTGCGACTTGCCAGCTTTACTGTTAGACAGAAACCTCAGGTTCCTTTTCCGTGCATTATTTTAGGCACAAACGGGGAACTCAGTAGAACCATCGACATTCCGTAAGCTAGCTGGATGGCTTCCTCACATGAAAGAATCCAAAGTCCCTATCGGGCTTCGAACCAACAGCAGTGAGAGTCAAATGGTTTGAAGTCAACGACCACGGACGCCCCATGTACTTCGTTTAGTCTTGATTCAATTTACAAAAATCTATTACACTTTAGACATTTTAATTTTAAATAACCCATTTAATTGCACTTTCACCCTTTAACTACAAACATCGATTTTGACAAAATTACGCTCTGTTTACAGGTTGCAATGAAATTGTATATAGCTTCTTTAAAGTTATGTACAGCTTTGGATTGAAATCTAGGAACTTCTTACTGGATATGTCTTATTTGAATAATAGAATATACGGGTCATTTAGTTTGGTCGTGAAAACTCTTATGTGTAGAATTTAAAACGTAACTTTTCTTTTCTGTGGGTGCACAACAAAATGATGATTATACATTAAATAAGAGACAGTATTTTCAAATATCAAATTTTTACATAATATATCTTTAAGTGTTAGACATAAGACGGTACTAAAATTACGTACGGTATAGATAAACATCAGCACAGTAGATAGTCTCTCCTCGATTTCGTCAATGTCACCTAGAGCGACTAGAAATACTTCAACATTTAGCTCAAATTTCCCGTCAAAGTCTGCGATTGGTAGAGTGTTCTTATTGTAGCCTTTCATTAGCATTGATGACAGATTGTTGATTGAGCTGATTGTAGGTACGCTCTCTACTCCAGCCATAAGTGCAGCAACAAGTAGAAATATTCCAAACGTCATACTGGCCTAGATCATTAACCCCTAAAATACAAGAAAAAAGACAATTAAGAACGAAATCAGACCCTAGCTTCTTTCATCTTAACGCTTCGTGGTTCTATCTTGATGTACTATATAAAATAATAAATTATAAATTCATAGCATAATAAAATGTATATTTTTTCAGTTTTGATAGAGCTGTTAAACAATCTGTACAAAAAAAAAAGATTAAGAATTTTGATTTTGTGATATATGTATATCTAAAAAAGCGCATTTTTTTCAAATAAATGTTAATATTTTTTAAATAAAATATTATATGGTTTCAAAGTTTACATTTTATAATGAATGATGCGATCGAAATTGTAATGAAATATCACAAAAAGATTGATTTAAAATATTTAGAATGTTACACTCTCAAAAAATGTATTCTGCAGATGTAACAATTGACAGTAAGGTATAAACTGGTATGTTCAGAGCAAAAGATCATCAAAAACAATTTTAAACATTGAGTTTAAAAATATACTATAGTGATGGAGTGAGGATAGTAAAATATCACACTACTCGCACCAAATTCTCACGCACCAGTAGCGCCCACAAAGAGTGGATTGGAACTGGACATTGAGTGATATATATTATCGAGTATAACAACACGCACATCAAAAAAATTCTATTATATAAGTATTTGGCTAGTGTACTCTCTCAACGAGAGAAATAGAAATTCGACGGGTTGGTATGCTTCCGACTTGTTTTACATCGAGTCGCCGATGTGCTATGTAAAAAATGACAAGTGTGTGGTGAACCTTTAAAAATTAAGGTCCTGTGTAATTGTGCTGGCGCATTGCACGAAAAACAAAGGCTTGTTTCTCCTAGGTTTGATTATTTATATTCGTTACACTATGCATTTATAAACATTTATTTGGAGTTCGCTCATATGCGTTTCCGTTAAAGACTATATAATTATAAATAAAGTTTAAGATAACAATTAAAAAAGATCCTGAAAAAATATTACCTGATATTTGGCCCTGATATCTAATCCAATGTGTTTTAAATTTATACACTGTTATTAAATGCTTTATTCCGCCTGCAGAATTGTAAAATTAATGACAGAGCTGTCTTCATTTAATTTGCTCGTTGAAGTGCGCCATCTGTTTATCTACGTTACATAGTTGAAGTTACTGCTTGTTATGAATAGAAATCCTTTGCAAAACTGTTATTTGATAAACGTGTAGAGAAATAGAAGAAAATAAAGCAGCAACGTTGTCTCCTTGCATAATCATTTAAGCAAGTTAAAAGATCCGACCTTGTTGCTATTAGCACATGACTTTGATAAATTATGAATATTAAAATAGAATATACGAACAAAAAAGGCTAGCCTATTATAACATTTGGCACGATATGGTCAGTTATGTGTTGACGTGCCGTAAAAATCCAAACAAACAAACAACCAAACAAACGAACGAACAAAATAGCAATTTATACATTTGTTTTTAATTACTAGTATGGTTTGTAAACATAACGTTATCTAAAGATATACTAATCTTAAGATATGCTGTCCTGTTATCCTAAAAAGTTTAGTAAAATATATTCATCAAAGAAATTTATTAAAATCTATTATACTGTTATGTCTAATTCGTATAAAAGAATGAATACAAACGGGAAGCTGCGTTCTCTATTACGGGACAAGTAAAGCTAGTCCTTTCTTAAAAAAACAAAAACAAAAGAAAACAAAAACAACAAAACAAAAACAAACAAACATGCCAGTTTTTAATGACACTTTATATTCATATTGTGACCACATATATTGTGTAAAATTTTATTCATAACATATCTTCTTTGTTTAAAGTCATTACATGTTTATTTTCTATTAACAAAAAGGCTATGTAGCAATTATCAATAATTGCATCTACCTTGTAACCTGTTTTTGTACACACTGCACTTTGGATTTGTATAGGCTATAAACAGTGTTTAACTGCTGACTAAAATTTTCGTATATTCGTATATATATTCGTAAGCAATAGTCAGCGAACAAAGCTCTCAAATTAAATAACAAGCTGTACTCTGGATAATTTGTTTAACTTGTACATCTTTTAGGGTATTAGAAACAATACTTTTACTTTGAAATAAGGATGAAAACAGTTTACGTACAAATACCCAACCAGTCAGCTACCAGATTGGTCGACTGATTTAACTTGCTGTGTAAGTAAATAAAACAAAACACTACGGTAACCTTGATTCCATGCTTATTTCTAAAACATTTTCATTAGCGAAACATACCAAGAAAAATCTAGGTCTATTGACATGAACAAATTTTACTGTCAGATATATAATTATGTTCTTATTACGTAGGCGCAGAGAATCGCATGCTAGATGCTCTAGTATAAATGTACCTTTGCATTACGTATTATTATATCTGTATACATGTTGATAGTTTGCGTGAATTTTTGAAGCTAATTGTAAACTTATCTAGACGGGATATATTATTAAATCAACATTATGATGATGCTAAAGATAAAAGCATCGCTTGCTAATAGAAATAGTTAGTAATTCGCTTGCCGTGAAGTAGATGTTAAAGCAATATAAATGATAAATATGTTTAGTTTATTTACACCGGGAATTTTTGACAAACTTGATTTCGACCTTTATATTAAAGGCACGTTATGCCTCAGAAATTCTATCACTTTGTTTTCTCAATTTCTGTTTAATTGTTTGTATCTTGTTACATATTCCAAAAAAGATACTTGTCACAGGGTGAGAAAAATGTGCAGTCTGAACAGAACTCGAACCCGGGACCCTCGGAATACCGTTCCGCGGCTCTACCGACTAAGCCATCCGGCCGCTTACACATCTTCTCCCCTAAAGAGTGAACAGGTCTGAACAGTGACATACTCCCCTGCTATATTGAAATTCGTCCTCGAATGTCACAGAATTACAGAGCAATGTGAATTAAACTCTGAACTTTATTCAGTCACGATCCCCCGTTGGGCGCCAAATGTCACAGGGTGAGAAAAATGGGCAGCCATCATTTAATTGTATTTGACATGCTTAAAATATACAGTGATATCTTGATCAATTTCTATTCTTCTATCCATAAAGCATGTAAAGACAGAATTTGCATTTATTAGCTCACCTGAGAACAAAGTGCTCAGAGGTGAACAGGTAAATCAGCATGGTCTCATCGGCCATGTGTCATTATAATTTCTTGTCTGCAACCACATGGAAGACTTTTGATCAAACTTCACAGAAATTATTCTGGAGTAGTTCTGTACAAACTAACTTTAATATAAATGGTTCCAGTCTGCTAAATAGTTTATATGAGCTATAAAAGGACTTTATAAACAGATTATTTGGCAATCCTGTTCTCAGTAACAAAAATATACAGAGCTTAGTTATTTGGAATGTAGAGTCAAATTATAGTTTGCTACAGTTATTTGACTTCATCTAGGATTAAAATTGGCCCCGTTACAGAGATTAATTGCTTATATAAACTTTAAAGGAAAACATAGTTAAGTATTCCTGTATGAAACGGAAATGCCTAATACATACATTAGATATTTGGCATGTACCATCTCTTTGTGGTCCACAGAAAAGTTTTGTAAATCATGACATTAACTGTCACTTAGTTATATAAAAGCGTATAGTGACACACATTTAAGCTTTCGTGAGTGAAACTAAACCTACCGAACATAGATTAAAACCTTTATAAAAATAGCTTAAAACCTTTATAAAAATTATTTATAAAAAAGAAACACATTCAAATTGGGTAGAATAGCCTGCCCCTGGGTCAATTTTATGTGGGCAGGCCCAAATGTTACCAAGTTATCTGATTTGACATTTAGATTGTATAACCATTTCTAGCAAATAATCTCAGGTGAGCGTCTTCTGGACCATCATGGCGCTCTTGTTTAATATAATACATTTACTGTATTTATAAATTTGAAAGTTAAGTTTAGCACATATAATTAATCAGATTTGCAAACAAGACGAAAGGGGAACTTTACTATTTTTTATCTGTATATCAAGAAGTAATACTACGCAGGTAAATTGAATAAGTGTTAGACGGTTATTCATAACGCATTAATTATTTCTTATCTGTAAGAATCAGTCAACGATATGATATAACTAGCACGAACTTATATCCTTTTACATCCTCAAATTCACACGTGTTTGACTGAACGAATCTTAAGAATTACGGACTCTGATGACTTTGGTAAATGTCGAATAATGTCGTATGTCGGATTATTTTGTATGGACCTGAAAGCTGTCTTGCATTCTTTCGATAGTTTTTGTGATATTATTTATTTAGCACTTTGTCGATAGCGAGTACACTGTCAGACGCGCATGAACTATGGGTACTGTATGTAGTCCTAAAAGTTTTTTTTCATAATTTGGGTGTTCAAAAAGTAGCATGGAAAAGAAGGTATGCAATAATTGATATTCAAATATCCAATAAAGAATATAGAACATTCTGAGATTAGAAGATTCGTCCAATATCTGTAGAATTAGCAAAATTTCTTAGTCACATAATATTTAAGTTAGCAGATTAAATGTGACGGTAGCCTATTTATGGTAACAAACAGTAGACATTTAGTTCTACCACGTAACGTTAGATGTTAACAGAAAACAGAGAGTGACATTTCTGTATATATTTTACACCAAATGGAAAATAATGTATATTTTGGTAATATTATACCTGGAAGATATGGCAGATGATAAGAATCAATTGATCAAACAATTTGCGTAGCTTATAACTAAATCCGAAATAACATTCACAGGTAAACATTTGTACTGTCGTCTTCATGGCAAAATTTAACCATTTTTATGTTTAAATGTTGAATTCTGCTTAAGCCGGTGCTAGGGGGCGTGGACGGTAACTTGCACTTTCCATTGCCGTCCATGAACAGGCTCAATCAAACAGAGCCTGCAACATTTTACAATTTTGCCGTGTTGGGCTTTCTTCAAGGATTCTGTTTTTCTTTATTTCTTTAAGCATGGTCATAAGTAAATAATGCACTGCCCACTTTTATGTCATTAATTGGAACTTTTATATACAAAACATTTACAAGATATAATGCAATAAGCTTGCTTTACTCAAAGCATATTTACTCACCATTTTTTACAATGTGTAATCAAACTGAGCCTGCAACATTTTCAATTTTGTCGTGTTGGGCTTTTTTTTAGTGATTCTTGTTTTCTCTATTTTGATGCGTAGAGATGTCTGAAATGCTGTATGTTTGTGTTCTAGGTTCTTGTCAGAGGTTTGACTAAAATAGCCGAGAATTGGTCTCATAAATAAACGTCTGAATCAAATTTCACCTGCTTCCTTTCAGTATATAATGATACTAGAGAAGGCTTATTGGTAACCGATCGCGTCACAATCAAAACCTCACATACGAGTCTGTAATCACACACCTGAAATGAATGCATTTCATTTAAGCATAAACATGTTTCTCACAGCAAACAATAAATAATACACGCCTAACTTCTAGTTTTCTATTTCAAATTGATAGCCATGGTGTTTTGTTTGTTTTCATTGCAAAAAGTTTGCTAGGATAAACAGCAAATTGTCCGAGGCGAAGCCGAGGATAAATTGTTGTTTGTCCTAGCAAACTGCCTTTTTACGTCTGTAAGAAGACACTTTTGAAGAAAAACGAGTAAATTTATCTGACTTATAAGACAACTAGGTGTAAAAAACATATGAATGGGTAAAATATGATATAAAGGCAAATAAATACAATGCTTTTCAAATATTAAATGAAATAAAAATATTTGTTGAAAAAAATGAAATGTAAAAATAATTCGTTGGCCTAAACGCAATGATAGTATCGACAAAAAGTTATCTCACGAAATTTTCGTGCAAAAAGTTTAGACGAATGCTTTTCTTCATGTACACTATCAACATCGACAGAAATGGCCGAATTAAATTTTGAAGAAGAGACGGACTTAGTTTTAAGTCAAATGGAGATGGACTCTTTTTCTGATTCATATTGGTTTGACACCGAAACCGACTTTGTTTTAAGGCAATTTAATATGGATATGGACGTAAAAATGGGTTATTTTCCATACTCTCAAGCTATGATTGACAAGAAAGTTGAAACCAATTTAGTAGCGATAACAACGGATTATCCAATAATATGGCGCCTATCTGTCACCATGTCGTATATACCTCAAATAAATTGGTCGTTCTTATTGAAAACCTTACTTTTTTCAAGTATAAAACTCAAAAATTATACAGAAAAGGATAAATAATTTCATAATTAGCTTAA